GGCAAGGCAGTTGAGGGGCAGGATGGAGGACTGAAGAGACAAGACCCACCTGCTCCATCCTGGGCGTATTGGCCAGCCCTGTGTGTGTGGATCTAGCAGTCTCTGGGGACTTCTCATTGAAGCTCTAATCCCAGGCAAGCCTAACACCTGGGGAGGCAGGGGTGGGAGCTGCAGTGTGGCTACCCATCCCACAGCCCGGGTCCCCAGTAATTTGATAATTGGGTGGAGTTTTCTCTGAGAGAGAGCTGAAGTCCAGAGGAAGACAATCCAGCCCCCCTTGCCCACCCACCTCTCTCCAGAATCCCTCCCTCCTTCCCTCTGTGGATGGGGGCTTGGGTGACTCAGAGGAGGGATAGAGGGAGGGGGCATGCGTAGATATAACTGGATCTCAAAGCTGGTGAAAGGAAAAGAACTTTCCTTGAAATACAATGGCTTTGCTCCACATTGGGAAAGGGCTCCTGATGTGAGTCACCCGGTAACCATGGGGCCAGCATCCGCAGGTGCCCAGGGCTCCCTTTGCAGTTGATGGGGCAGCATGCTGTGGGGTGAAACCTGCCTCTGGATCTCCAGCCAGTGCTAAATCTGGAAGGACATCTAGCCACCCCCTGCACTGGGGCCTCTCTGTGGGGCCCCCACACTCTGCAGACCACAATGCAGTGTGACACAACTCAGAAGTTGTGGAGAGCAGTGATCATAAGAAAAGAGTCATCATGGGAGAGCCCAGACTTAGGATTTCAAGCTGCAGTTCTGCCCCCACCCCGTCCCCAAACAATGACATGAATTCCTGCTCTGCTCTCCTCACCTCATAATTGAGATTGACCAGTCTCCCATGGGCACAGGTGTCTCACCTGTTATTATCATGTGCGCCAGGGAAAAGTAAGGGGGGGCGGACCTCTCTCCTCCCCTCCCCAAATAAAAGCCCCGGTGTCTCCCTGGGCTACAGATGACTATGCAGACACACTGTGGGCTGAAAGGTGGAGAGCCAGAAAGCCACTCCCTGAGATCTTGGATAAGTCACTTTCCCTTTCTGCTCTTCCCTTCCCTCCTCAGCTGAACCATAAGGCTTACCTCAGTTGTCAGAAACCCCTTCTAGGTGAAGAAACTGGCAGCCCTGTCAGACCCGGGGGTCTGAGGTCCCAGAGCTCAGGGCGCAGCTGCTGCGCTGCGCGCGCCGCCTCAAAACCCCAGGGGCCTCTTCCCTGCTGGGATGTGGGGAAAGAGTAGAGGCGTCACCACCTGCTTCCCAATCTTAACCTTCAGATACGTGGCTGCACCCTGGACACCCACCAGCCGCTGTCCCCCGGGCAGGCCGTCCCCGGCCCAGCAGGTCTCCGTCGGCCGAGCCGCTCAGGCAGCCTGGATCCCAGTGGACCTGCAAGGCGCGGCTCGTAGGGCTGGCCTTGGACGAACTGAGCCTCCACCCCAGCCCCTGGCAAAGAGATGGATGGGAGGGAGAGGCAGCCCGACCACCACGAGGGCAAGGGACAGAGGGCGAGACACCGCAGAAGCAGGAGCGAAAGCAGGACGGCGCGTCCCACGGTGAGCGCAGGGCGCGCGGGGCTCCAAACGCCGGGCGCGGCCCGGGAGCTCGGAGAGGATGACTGCCGACCGCGCAGTCCAGGGTCCGGGCCGGCCGCCGACGGTCCCCGTCCTTCCCCCACCTGACAGCAATCCCTGAACGCTAGGCGCACCCAGAGCACTCCGCGCATCCCGCGGCCGCGGGAGGGGCCAGCGTCTCCACCGCGCCGGCTCCCAGAGCCCCG